TTTTGTTGACGAAAAAAATGAAATGACAAACCACAACTTTGGGGTACAAATATTTTGTTTATAAAAGCTGGAAATGATTTTGGAAAGTGTTTTTTTTTTTTTAAGATTCTTTTTTAATAGAAAATGATTTAAAAAAACAAGGGGAGCTTGATTTTAAATCTGGTCTTTTTTTGTCCAAAGTGAAAACATTTTGTGAGGGGAAAAAGAAAGTTTCTTCACTCCTACAAAAATACTTGGCATTTAAAAAATATTTCTATGTCTTTGTTTGCATCTTTCTCTGCATCTTAATTGTCGTCATTGTCTTCCTGGGATACAATATTATTTATCAAGGAATTTTGTTAAATACGTCATCCTCTCAAAGGAAGGTGGTAAAGAGGAAGTGAAGGAAGGTGGCTGTTGCAAGACAGCATTCCTGGGTGCAAGAGACTTGCTAAAGCTTTATGCAAGGCAGATAAAAATGTTATAGAAGATTTTCTTCCCACAAAGAATGTTTGCAATGAGTTGTCCTTTCCTCTCTTAAAAATACAGCATATACGTCATCTTGCCAAAGCATTGTTCTCACATCAAGCTGCTTTCCATATTGAGAAACTTCATATCTCCTTGTAAAATTGCAGCTCTGCATAGGCAGTTGGGAGTTCAAGATGGCATTGGGGCCTGGGATATGATAAATTGCTGTTTGTATCTCTGCGTATGGTCTGGGCACATGCATACTGCTAATAGTTCACCAAAGTCTCATTCTGATGCTGAGCTGTCAAATACTGGGGAGAAATAAACCGCAATATGTAATTTATTTTGAACATGAGATAGTCTCTGTAGGCTTTTATAACTTCCTGTGCTAGTAGGCTCAATTACTATTTGTGTTGTCATTTCTTTTAATGGCAGACGTAGCTAGCAGGAGTAGACAAGGCCAATAAATGAAGTTGCCAACATTTTTAAAGAATAGTGAGGCCTGTCTAGATCCTAGTTTCACTTGTTAATATTTTCAAGTGTTAACCCTGAGGGCCAATATTTCCACACCAGAAGTTTGTTTCAGACTGGAGCATCTAAAGTTGAATCACAAATGGCATGCTAAGTCTCCCATTAGGAAAACTGCTGGTTTTGCCAATGTGAAAAGTTGCAGGGAGAGGACTGTCTTTGCCTGGAAGGGCTGGAAGGAATGTGGCAAGATGAGCAGACCAGTGATAGTTAGTAAGTGGGAGGGAGGTGACAACTGAACTGCACTTAAGGCAGAAAAAGAAGTTGGGATGGCCCATATCCCAGCTGAGACTCAGCATGTCTTTGCTAATGGCCAACGAGTGGCTGTCAAACGGAGATTGCTTTTCCCTTGAACGTGGTCCATGTTGGCTACATCTATGTGAGCATGGATCCCTAAGTGTGCAGTGATGCTGAGTGGTCCCTCAAGACACTCCTGTGCCATCTGTGCTGGTCTTATAGATAGCTTGAATGGAGGGCTTCTAAATGCTCTCCTCCCTTGGGCCAGGCAATATTTGGGATCCCCTGGAAGGGCTGGAGGCCATGCTACCTGCATCAACCATTTGTCAGCTTTCAGTGGGCATGGGAAGCTGCCCACAGCCTGAGGGCCTGCCCGCATGGCAGGTAAATGATTATGAGTGAACTCTAAAAGGCCAGGCTTTTCCTATAAATATCTCAATATACAAAAAGGGGGCACATGCATCTGCATGCAGAGTGGATAGGCTGCTTCAGAGTCTTGTGGTATTTTTGAAAATGTGTGAGGTGGGCAAATGCTGAGTTTGTTCTTGAGTGTTGACTTGTTACCCTTCTGCACTCATGCAGATGCTCTTTGAAACACCAGGGGCCAGTTTGTTGGCTTGTGTGGTGCAGGTCTTTAGCATAGATCTAAACAAAGGAAAACAATAATAAGCCCAGTGGTGGCTTTAACTGCCTACCCTGACCTGCAGCTGCCAGATAATCTATAGAAATTTTCACACCAGCATCAGTGATTCCTGTCTTGAGAGACATGAAAATGCACCCACTTTCTCATCTAGATGGCTTTCCAACCTGATGGTTCTTCATGCTAAACCCTCTGTATTGCTGATATCCAACAAGAAGGATATCCAGGATTTTATTTAATGACTGAAAATGCCATGTCACCCTGCAAGAGAGGACCAACTACAGCTGCACAGTGGTGCCCCTGGCAGCTGCCTGACTAATAAAGGTCACTTTGAACTCCCAAGCAGCCACAGTGCTCTCCAGAACATAGAGATAAGGAAGTAGGTGGAAGTAATCCCCATCAATTCAAGGCACTTTATCACCCAGGGAATTGCCCCTAGCTTTCAAGCACTGCTCAAACAAGCTACTTGTTGTGACGTTGGCCTTGATGGAATAAGCCCGAGAGACGGGTGAACACTGGCCATGGTTTTCGGAGGCTTGCAAATGCAGTTCTGTCCCAGTTTTGAATCTCATGTTATACTACATTGGTAAATATTCTGCTATCTGGACACTCTTACTCCATCTAGTCAGTAAAGCTATTGCACAGCCTCACTTCATTTGGGCTGCAGGGAGGGTCTGGGGAAAAGTAGTTTATAAATTTGACCTATGCAAATATATGGGACATATCTTCCTGGGTAATTCCCAGGAAGATTTTAAGTTTGATTTTGTTGGAAGAGTAAAAATGGCACTGATTTCTGCCTACAGCTGCTCATCGGCATGTCTAAATTTTTTTTAAAAGACATGAGTTTGGTTTGTTTGTTTAATGAACTTTCCCATGAAAACCTATTTGTGTTTATATTCAGTGGGTGGATTTATTTGTTATGTGAAGCAAATGAGGAGGAGAGAGAGAGAGAGAGAGAAAAAAAAGAGTTTCTATATCTGTTAAAACCCATCTTTTCTGTTCTTGTTCAGCAGCCAAAAATGCATTCCTCTTTTCTAAAAGAGAGAACACAAGGGCACCAGCTTACAGATCTCTAAGCCATAGAAGTCATTTCAGGGCTCTCCAGGAGGGGCTCCATCCTGCTGACACTGTTGGGAGAAGAGCAGAGGTTTGCCACAGTGGCATAGAGCTGTTTAGGACCTGCTTTGATGAAACCCATCCATCAAATCAATCAAATCAGGCTGCCAGGTAGGGTTAGGGTAAGGGTGAGGGTGAGGGTTTAGGGTTAGGTTAGGATTAGGCATGTCTAGACATGCCATCGATTAGACTGGTGGCCAAAGCTGATGAGGTGGCCCTGCTGGTGAGGTGCCCAACAGCACTGCGGGGTCACCTTCTGCCACCCCCTGCCTGAGCCCCATGGCCATGCATGACCAGCCTGGAGGCAGCATGAGTGAGTGGCATTTGCTCCATCAGAGCACACATGTGGTTTATGGAGTGGTGACAACCTGAGGTGCATATTTCAACTAGATGTGATGGCTGTGTAATGTGTTAGCAGCAGGGACACTTAACTGCACAGTAAATGCCATTTTCCATGGGTCGAAGTTTCCTAATTTTATTTGAAAACTCCTGTTAGTAGTTCTGAGCTTGGTTAAGTTCATGCAATAGATATCCACCATATAAAAAATAGATACACATGTATATATCCTGAAAGCATACAAGTTGGAGACCTAGTATTTCCATGACTAACAGGATTTTCTGCTTTTAAGTGAAAACATTTTATTTTTTTTTTTAATTAGTAGAGAAAATTCCCATGACTCCCCATCCCTCCGAAACAAAAATGCTGACAGAAGTCTCAATATTGTTTTGTGCCTGTTGGGACCAAAGTTACACAGAATTTATGGAGAGTAACTTAAAGCTTTTGCAGGGCCTTTACTGCTTAGATTTTAGTTCAGAATTAAAGTCCATAATAGTAGAACATTAACCATCTAGAGAGGGACTGATCCATGAAGCCCCTTTATGCAGGGCTCCATGCTGTTAAACGTCCGCAGTGCCATTCTTCCACAAAGCACTATTTTCATATATTTTTGATCAATAAGAAATGTTTTTGCTAAATTTTGGTGTACAAGTGTTGAAAGCAAAGATTAAGTCAGTTCCCATACTTAACCTTCAGCCTTTCCCTGTGTACAATGCAACTGGCAACCATTCCTGTATAAAGTAGAGCTGGGCCACTGTTGGCCTGGAGATTCCCAGAATACACCACATCAAAGGGAATATATCAGGTCGTTCTGGCATCCTAGTACAAGAGGGATGTGGAGCTGCTGGAGAGAGTCCAGCGCAGGGCTACGAGGATGATCAGGGGCCTGGAACATCTGACCTGTGAGCAAAGGCTGAGAGAGCTGGGCCTGTTCAGCCTGGAGAAGAGGAGACTGAGGGGGGATCAGTGTCTAAAACTGCCTCTTTTCAGTGGTGGACCACTCTTTTCAGTGGTGGACAGCGATAGGACTAGAGGAAACTGCCACAAACTGAAGCATTGGAAGTTCCACAGGAACTTAAGGAAAAATGTCTTGACTGTGAGGGTGTCAGAGCCCTGGAACAGGCTGCCCAGAGAAGTTGTGGAGTCTCCTTCTTTGGATATCTTTAAAACCTGCTTGGATGCAGCCTTGTGCTCTGGGTGACTCCACGTGTGCAGCAGGGTTGGACTAGATGAGCTCTGGAGGGCCCTTCCAACCTTAAGGATTCTATGATTCTGTGATCTCTTGTCTCTATGGACTGTAACTGGATACTGAAATCTTGCTTTTTTGAAGAAGATGTCTAGGTGACATCTTGCTGTAGTGTTTGTTTTGATGTTCTGCCATAGCCAAATTCCAGGTCAGGCAGTTGGTGGCTCTTACTGTGCAGCTTCAGATTGATACTGCACCTTTGCTTCTTCTATTTTAGATAGTCATTTATGCAATTATGTGCCATTAGGTCACTTGGCTGCTCTGTAGCTCATTCGTCAGTTATATATAGACGCTATGGACATGACACTGAAAGTAAAGGGATTTATGTGTTATATCTAGATATCCATGCTGAAAAGAATTGAAGAATCAGATTATATAATTCACGGTTAGAAGAGGTCATGGTTGCCTGACTTGAGCTTTTTCATTTACTTTTGTAGGTTTGGTGGCCTTGCAGGATCTCTGCAGCTCACAGTGAAAATGCTGGACTCTCAACCTAAGTGTCCGTTGAGTCTGACTCAGAGATTTCTATTTTCTTACTATGGACCATGTGGTCTTTAATTTCATCATCAAAAGCTCTAAATTTTTAATTTCTGACCAAGTGGGCAGAATACCATTTGTAGGCAAGAAAAGCTCTCCAAATTAAAAATCTGTCTACCTGCTTGGAAACAGCAGAAAAAGGAATAATTTATTGTGAAATCAACCTGCTGTTGAAGCCAGTGATTGCTTTGTGTGATTGTGGGTTGAGGAGTGGAGGAGTTAAGGAATTAATGCAGAAAAGCAGTGGAAAGGAATTACAGATGAGAAAAACTTCTGGTTGAATTAGGAGTTGTAGAAATCTGACTATAAATTATTAGCCTTGCTACAAGGCAATGGTGAAAGCATTCAGAAGGCAAAAGACAGGCAGAATAAAAGAAAGTGCGGGAGCTCACTGACTGCTCAGTTTTCAATACAGTGGAAGAGAAATAAATACACTTTGGTGAAAAATATCAAGGAGATTAAGGACTTCAAAATATCGGGTCACCCGAGTTTTCTGCTTATGTTCAGCAGCTCATAGGAATCATGTGAAGAACCATACCACCTGCTGTATTTATTGTGCTTGCTTGTGCTTTAATCATTGCCAACATGCCAATGTCATGGCTTTAATCTTTGCCAACATGAACTCCAACAGGGTTCAAACAAAGGTGAGAGATGCCATGATTATGTTAAGGAAACAGGAGACAATTGGATTGGGCAGAGAACTACTTTTAAAAGACTGAAAACTGTCCGTAGCTTGGGAGCTCAGCATTTCTCACCCAGCTTGGACACAATGGAAGCCAGGGCATTTGTAACATTCCTACAGTTACAAACGTGCAAGAGGATCTGTATGGAGCACAAGCTCTGTCTTCAGTCTCCTACAAAAAGTGCCGTCTCTTAAGGCCACAAAGAGCCTTTTGGACTCGTGATCCAGAGGGAGGAAGGCTGCCTGGAAATTGCCACCCCCGCAACGTCTGTGCTTGGGTTTCCCCAGGGAGATCTCTCTGCTCTCTCTGAGCTTGGCTGCCCTGACAGAGTCGCACGCCAAGGAGCCTACGGCAGTTTAGTAGTTGGCAAAAATGAGTTTAGTCCAAGTTGTGCTTAAAAAATAATAAAACAGACATTTTGATTTTCTCCTCTTAGAAGGCACATGTATCTAAAGAAGTTTCCGTACGTAAAACAAACTACATGAAACTGAAAAATCATCTGCATTGTGAAAAGGTGTTTTCTCTTGGAGTGCTCTCTGAGGGGAAAAGGCACCACCAAGACAGCTTTGTGAGTATGTGATGCAAAATCCTTCCTCCCCCACCTGCTGCGGACAAACTGTGCCCTCTCTGTGAAGCTTTGGTTCAGATTTATATTCTCGAGCATTTTGGATATTCTGATCTGAGGCTTATGTTTCCACTCCTTTTCAGGAACTATACAGCTTGGACCCAAGCTTTCTTGGCATGCAAGACCAAGCAACACCTCAGCATACTCAAGGCTGGGGAGACAAAATGCCTTCGTGTTTGCAAAGGGCAAGGGATACTCCTCCTTCAAGTTTCATGGCCCTGTCCTAGCCCTGCTTTGTTGCCTGCCATGCCTGGGGTGATGGACTCCTCTATCAGCATCTGGCTCTGTGCTCGCTACCATTATGAACATTTAAGACATTAAGAACTAATAGCACCGGTACTTGGCCTTTAAGCTTGGGAACATGCAGCAGACAGTTTTATTCCTGTGCACTGATTCTAAACCATTAATCTTGTTTATGGATTTTTAATAAAATTTTCTACTCCTTCAAAAGATTAAGCAGTGCACTTTTGCCTAGGGTATTTGGAAGCAGTATAAAAGTAGAAACAATATTGGTAGCCCATTTCTGATTTTTTTACAGTTTGTTTTAATTGGTAACCAAGCTTAAATATAATTTTTCAATGCTGTATTTTTTTATTCCAAATCTTTAATGTTTTCCAGATCCACTCCAGGTTCACTGGACTGTGTAGTAACTATGCCTTAATTTTGATTCAGAGGAAAGCACCATGCCCATTTTGAGCATTCCTTATTTGCTTACTTTTGCTCTTTTATTTTTAGCTATATTTTCTATTGCATTTCTCTCTGTGTGTGCATTTTATAATTATTACAGACTTTTCATTTTTATGTGGCATTGATTCTTGGCACTGAACTGAAAGGCTGGAATTGAGAAAGCTATGAAATTACTGCATCAGCACAACCACTTGAAACTCTGCTGTGTACCCAATTCTGCATTTGTCTAACCTCTGTTCAACCACTGTGCAGAATCCTATATAACATATTCATCAGCTGGGGAAGGGAGAAAAGGAGAGAGGGATGAAAATATCAATGAATTGTCATTAACCTGGTTAACTGTGGTCCAGAAATTGCCCAAGGTTTTTTTTATTGTTGTTGTTGTTTTCCTTAGTATGTTCTATGCCAGTGAATTTCCCTGCAAGGATTTTATGGAAGTGAGGAAGGAACTTTTCCTTCTTTATTCAGATGTGTGCTTCCCTGCATGAGGCCCAGAATGGGCAAGTTCTGCATCAGTAACAGATATTGTGCACATGAAAATGCCTTGACTTTGAAATCCAGTCCTTTGCATTTTCTTAGGAAGTTAGAAACAAAGAGAGAAAGTTTATATGCATAGGGAAGATATATTTTTTTCATTTTCCAGTTAAACTCAATGTGCTTCTTTCAAGCTCTATTACTCTGGTTTTGGAAAGATATTCTGCATCATGAGGTGACTTTTAGGAGACAGCGTTTGCACCTGGCACATTTAAGACTCATATTAACTGGTGGGTCTTAACAGCAACCTGAAGATCTTGATGGTAGCTCTGGTGACTCTCTAGGTGACACAGGCTTCGGACTATGGCCTGAGCTCCCGACTTGAGGAAGTTGACTGAGGAGGTCACCTGAAGCAGGGTGGCTCTGCATGAGCTGTGACACAGACAAATGGTACCTAAACAGATACCATGTTGTCAGTCATTGCAGACTGTCTCCAGCAGGAATGTTGAAGGGGGGTTTTGTGTGGGTGTGGGGAGTCACGCTTTACTTACCGGACAAGCATCTCAGTCGTGTTGCTGAATAGCTATCAGATAGATGATGCCTGGTAAATGCATGGGGATTTAGGATGCAGGTATTCCACCATGGCTCCTTATGTGTGTGTGCATGCACGTGTGTGTGTGTGTATGTGTATGTTTGTGAAGCAACCAGCACCCTGAATGTGTGAGCATTTAATATACCTGCGTTGTATTGCTGGCTGTGGCCTGCCAGAAAGAAGGCATCATGCTCACCGGACATTAAATTCTTTTTTTATATATATTAAATTAATATACATCAGAGTATTATAGATAATTCTTTTCTACCTTAGCCACCTTTAAAGAGACTTAAGTGATTAATGCTAAGTATAATAAAAAAGTGTCATAATTCTGTGTGACTTTGTTTCACATTTGGTCTTTGCCGTTTTCTATCATCAGCATCAGGGAGGATTTATTTTTCTTCATCTTATTTTTATTCTGTGTTAATTGTCTTGTAATGCTTCTTCCCTTCTGTGTTGTGGAAACCTGTGAGAACCTGGCCTGACTACAACACCATTTGCCTCATGACAGATTATCCAGAGGGTCTGAGCTTTATCCTCCTGCCTTTGGCTCCCTGCAAAGCTGAAGAATAACCTGAGCATCAGGGATTACTCGATCCACAGTGTTCTCAAATGTAGCAGGTGAATGCATACAAGATCCATTAGCCTGAAGTCCAAACCAGCACTTTGTCTGCTTGCTTCTACCAAGAGCACTGAAGAGGCAGAGAATTAGGAATGGGAGAAATGTGAAGCCTGCTGCAGAAAGCGAGGGTCTCCACCTCTTTGTGGGGAAGATGGGTGTGTGTGTGTGAAGTAAAAAAGTGTGATGAAAATTGGCTTATAAAAATCCTGTATCCTGGTACAGGCCTAAATTGGTGCAAATCCTCTTCATTTTTTTTTCTTATTTTCTAAAAAATCATTTGAGGGAATGTTCATGTATTTCACTGCAACAGTAAAATTTGTAGGAAGAAAAGTAAGAAAGCATTTTCACCAAACTTTATAAAGGAAATCTCTGTTAATCTCTCGTTGTTGCAACCATCCAGGGAAATCTTATCCACCTAATAATAACATGTCAGCGTAGGACTGTGCCCTTCCCTCCTGCAAGTTCCCAAAGCACTTTTCAGCCCATATATAGGGATCATGCACCTACCTCTTGTACAGAAGGCACCGTGCCATTTCATCATGCCAACAGCACTTTACTATCACCCTGGAGAAGGGAAGTGAAGAATCATTTTTCCTTACTGGATGACAATGGAAATTCTTACGCAGGCAGAAAAGTGGTTACCTCAGGCATAATTTACTGCGCTGAGGGACACCCAGGGCTCCCTCTTAGAAAAGAAATGTACTAGAGGGCGTTTAATAACCAAAATGTTCAGGGTCTTAGCTTATTGTGTCAACTGTAGGACAACCCTGTCTCCTTTCTCCTCAGAGTCATCTGGGGATTGATTTAAACTAGCAATAAGTATATTGGGAGGCAGTAGAAATGTCAAAGGATAGTAAGGATTACAGCTGTTTTCTGGAGTATTTATTCACAGGGTGAATGTATCTGATCCTCTACTTGATGAGCTGACAGTCACATTAAAAGTTGCTTCATAGGTCAGTGGGGCAAGATGCTGGAGGTAACTTTGATATTAGTCTTTCCCTGGAACCATCTGTCTTTCATCATCAATAAGTTTCCCAATGATTTACCGTTCAGGCTCAAACTGTTCTTATTTGATCTCTGTCCAGAACTGATTGTTTGAAATGTTAGTCATTCATCAACCATCCCTGAAGCCAGATAGGAGAACAAAATAAATAATACCGTCCCCAAAAGTGTATAGTGGTTTCTTCTTTACGAAAAAGAGGCTGGTGAGGCAGAATGGACTGACTAAAGAGTATCCAGAGGCAGCCAGCGCTGTATTAATTTGTATCTGAAGAAAATCCAGAGCCCTGTGCAAGAGGGAGCCCTGGGAGTCAGTCAGCAGCTGCATTGCTTGTTGCATGTGGTGAAGCACATAGGTAGGAGACTGTCTTGGACCTGAAGGGAAACCAAGCAGTAGGCAAGAGCGCAGGAACTGCCCCTGCCAAGCACTTACTGAAGGAAATGGGTATTTGTAGGGTTTGCTTGACTGAACTCTCTCCCTGTTTCTTTTTTTTCCCCCATTTCTCATTTCTGCATAGACAAAAAGAACAGCTTATTCCTTTCCTCTTTGTCTGTCATACTGCTCCTCATCATAGACTGTTCACCCTACAGCAAACCTTGGTATGGCAAAAGTTCTTCCAGAAAGGGGGCAGGGGTGGTCTGCTTTAGTGTCCACTTTCCAAGAGGGACATTTATCAAAAGGAGAGGCCTCTGGACAAGAGGCATCCCGAGGAAGCGGGTAATGCTCCCGCACATGTGGAATGTCACAAATGAAGGGAGACAGTTCCCAGGTCAGAGTGGAAATATCTTACAGTGCAGTCAAATATTTAAACTATCCCTACTAATCCTGAGCTATCCCAGAATATGGTTTGAACTAATTATAATTTCCCAGCGCTGTATAGCAGCGCAGAGCACCAGGCGGGCTCCGAGTACTCTGGTGACCAGACAGACTTCCTGGGTCTGGGAGCGTCATAGCTGAAGAATGACTAAGTGCAGTTATCTCGTGTCTGACAAAACAGTTACCATTTGGAGTGCAGTGCAGAGCTGCTCAGAGAGTCAAAGGTGAGAGAAAAGTCCACTCGAAGGGAGCATCAGAAGGACAGATGAGAGCATGGGGCAAGAGCCCAGGGCCTGGAGGAGGCAATGGTTTAAAAGACCAAGTTTCTGAAGGGGAAAAAGGCAGGTAGGACTGAGGAAAATAGCTGAGTTTGGCTCATAGTATGTTTCCTTATGGTGGAAGGCAGAATACGTGCAAGACGTGGATGAAATGCGGTCTTTGGAGACCAAGCAGGGATGTTAGGCAGGAGCAAGAGCTCAAGTGCATCCGGCAGCAGCACTCGCTGGGATGCTGGGCAGGATGTCTCATCAAAGTCTCCACAGACAGAGAAGAGGGTCTGAGGGCCTTCAGTGCTGAGATGACCAGGGAAATAGTCTGCATCGCCATGAACACAGATCCCCATTAAATACAGTCCTGAGGGCTGTGCAGCTCTTTAGATTGTGTGAGTTTCAGCATCTAGCGATCTAGGTGGAAATAGGGTGGTTCAGCTGCTTTTGTACTCATGGTAAAGCTATTGCTGGCTTTAAAAGATTAGTAGTTAGATGATACATCACTTAACAGTTTAAGGAGCCACCAGTCTTGCTTCATCATCACACTCAACTGAGGTGTTGAGGAGTGGTTTTTTTCCCTAGGATGGGCTGAGAGACTGCCAGAAGAAAGGTGATTCTTGTGGGATATGAGAGCATTAAAACGGTGAAGTGAGGACAGGACAGAGAGAAGTATCACAGAGGAGGTTTCTGTTGTCTCTTATGGTCAGGAAAATAGTTGTGTGTTTGCAAGACACACTGAGCCCTGAGGAGAAAGAGCTGATCCAGGCTTTGTGGGTGGTGTCAGCCCTTCCCGGTTGCAGAGTTGGGCCAACTGCATACAATTGAGTGCATTTTTGTGTGTGCTTGGATTATTCCACAATGCTTTTTCTTTTAAACCTTGACGTGTGCTTTCCCCCAAGGAATTAATCTTGTTTGAACTGTTTTAGTCAGCTGAAAAGAGAAAACTGATCATGAGTGAGTTTGCGCGTAAAATCCACTGGTGTGCTTGGGCTGCCTTTCACCATCCTTGCAAAGCCAAACGGGCCAAGTGAAGCAGTAAATCTGCTCCAGTTTGTTTTTATAACTGCATGTTTGGCAAAAGAGGAACGTTTGGTGGTGTGTGGTCAGGGATGCAGGGCTGTGTAACCATTTCCTCGTTGGTAAATGATCTCTCAGGTGAGAGGAGTTGTGGGAGACAGCAAGCACCCAGTGAGGAATGCTACACACCACGAGGGAGGCTGTGTGTAACACTGGCATGTTGCACTTCATTTATCTGCAACTATTCCATTTCCACGGAAATTTTA